CGGGGTACCCTGCAGCCAGCGGGAGCTGTACTTGAGGGTGCGCAGCGGAGCCTGCCCGGGGCTCAGGCTGCGGTAGATCACGGCGTCACTGGCCTGGAAATCAGCCACGGTGGCCGAGTACAGGCTGCCATCTGCGGGGGGGGACACGCCGGGTCACCCCCGTGCCCCCCCGGACCCCCCCGTGCCCCCCCGTGCCCCCCAGCACCCACCGACAAAGAGAGCCACGACGCTTTGCTTGGCATCGAAGGGACACCGCGCCTGGCCGCTGACCTCGTCACCCTGCTGGGCCAGGCTGCTCACCTGGGGGGGGGGGGGACACGTCCAGAGGCCGTGAGACCCCTCCCCAAATAGTCAGCACCCCCTTTGTGCCATCCCCAACCCCATCGGGGTCCCCCCGGTGCAGTTGGGCTGTCCCAGGAGGGTCTCAGGTGACACTCAGGGTCCCCCTGGTGAAGTTTTGGGGTGTCCCGGGAGGGTCTCAGGTGACACTTGGGGTCCCCCCGGTGCAGTTGGGGTGTCCTGGGAGGGTCTCAGGTGACACTCGGGGTCCTGGGAGGGTCTCAGGTGACATTTGGGGTCCCCCCAGTGCAGTTGGGGTGTCCTGGGAGGGTCTCAAGTGACACTTGGGGTCCCAGGAGGGTCTTGGGTGACACTCAGGGTCCCCCTCAGTGCATTTTTGGGGTGCCCTGGGAGGGTCTCAGGTGACACTCGGGGTCCTGGGAGGGTCTCAGGTGACACTGAGGGTCCCAGGAGGGTCTCAGGTGACACTCGGGGTCCCCCAGCTGCAGTTTTGGGGTGTCCCAGGATGGTCTTGGGTGACACTCAGGGTCCCCCTTGTGCAGTTTTGGGGTGTCCATGGCTGAGAACCTCTGTGCTCTGGGAATTGCCCTGCTGGGGCTGAGACCCCCAGGATCCCCCCCCTCATTTCGGGGGTCCCCCCACCTGGTACGTGCGGCACAGGGGGCTGAAGGCGTTGGTGCCACAAGCCAGGAGGGTCTCGGCGTCGCGGGGCACCAGCACTCGGATGTAGTTGTGACACTCGTCCTGTGAGGGTGACACAGGTGACCCTGGTGCCACATCAAACCCCGCACCCCAAATTCCCGCACCCCAAATCCCCCTGACGCCCCCTCACCTGCCGCCGGCCCCTCATGGCGCAGTTCTGCCTGTCCTGCGTCTCCCAGGTGAGGTGCTGCCAGGTGAGATGTGCCAAGGGAGGGTGGGCACGGGGACCCTCGTGTGCCCCCCTGTGTGTCCCCTGCGTCCCCAAGGGTCGCTGTCCCTGTCCCCCCTTACCCGCTCCGGGTACAGCGTCCCCTTGTCCTGCCGCAGGTCGAAGGCGTAGATGTGGTCCCTGGAGGGGGGGGGGGGGTGAGTGTGCAAGGGGACACGGGGGTGTGCAAGGGGACATGGGGTGTGCAAGGGGACATGGGGACAACACGCACAGGGGGTGTGCAAAGGGACATAGGGGGTGTGCAAAGTGACAGGGGGTGTGCAAGGGGACACAAGTGATGTGCAAGGGGACACAGGGGTGTGCAAGGCACATGGAGACAACACAGGGGGTGTGCAAGGGGACATGAGGGTGTGCAAGGGGACACAGGGACAACACACACAGGGGGAGTGCAAGGGGCACAGGTGTGTGCAAGGGGACACGGGGGTGTGCAAGGGACACAGGTTGTGCAAAGTGACAGGGGGTGTACAAGGGACACAGGGGTGTGCAAGGGGACACAGGGACAACACGCACAGGGGGACAGTGCGGGGGTCACGCACTGACAAGGGCGCAGGAGCGTGCAAATCCTTGCACAAGCCCAGCTAAGGGTGCTCCCCACCGGAGCCGTGTCCCGGCGCACCGGGCGCTCACCGGGCGGCCACGAAGAGCGTCCCGTTGAGCCGCAGCATCCGCTGGAAGTCCAGGCCCAGCCGCGCCGTGCCGTTGTCCCCCCGGAGCCCCCCGAAACGCGGGTACGCGGCCGTGGCTGCGGGGCGGGGGGACACGGTGAGAGCCCGGGAACCCCCGGGATCGGGGCTGAGAACGGGAACCGGGACTGGGGTCTGAGAACGGGAATCGGGACCGGGGTCTGAGAACGGGAATCGGGACCGGGGTCTGAGAACGGGAATTGGGACTGGGACCGGGGTCTGACAATGGGAACCGGGACTGGGACTGGAACCAGGATCTGAGAACGGGAACCGGGACTGGGACCGGGGTCTGAGAATGGGAACCAGGACTGGGACTGGGACTGAGAACGGGAATCGGGACCGGGGTCTGAGAACGGGAACCGGGACCGGGGTCTGAGAACGGGAACCGGGACCAGAGTCTGAGAACGGGAACTGGGACTGGGACGGGTCTCTGAAAATGGGAATCAGGACTGGGACAGGGATCAGGGTTTGAGAATGGGAACCGGGACTGGGAAGGGCTGCGGGAGCTGCAGCGGGGCCAGGGCTGGGGGCAAGGCAATGGGGCAGTATTGGGGTCAGGATTGGGGCTGGGATTGGGGTTGAACTGGGATGGAAGCTGGGAAAATGGGGCTCGGATCGGGACCAGCATCAGAACCAGGATTTGGATTGGGATGGGACAGGGATTGCAGCCAGGATCGGGATCAGAATCGGAGCTGGGATTGGGATGGGATGGGACAGGGATTGGGATGGGACAGGGGTTGGGATTGGGATGGGACAGGGATTGCAGCCAGGATCAGGATCAGAGTCAGGGCTGGGATTTGGGGGTGGGACAGGGATTGCAGCCAGAATCGGGGCTGGGATTTGGGTTGGGATTGGGATGGGACAGGGATTGCAGCCCCCCCACCCCGGGGCCGCCCCCCAGCCCCGCTCACCTGCCAGCCCCACGGTGCTCCGAGCCACCAGGTCCCTCGGGAAGGACTGGGCGAGGGTCCCGGCGAGGAGGAGGAGGAGGAGGACGAAGAGCAGCGGGACCCCCGGCATCGCGGGTGGGGCTGGGAGCGACCCCCCCGCCCCGCCCCGGGCTGCGAGCGGGGGGAAACTGAGGCACGGGGATGAGAGGGGGAGTGGGGACAGTGTGGGGACAGCGTTCCCAGTGTCCCCAGTCCTCTCCGTGGTTCCCATTTCCCCAATGTTCCTGTCCCAAAGTCCCCAGCGCCCCCGTCCCAGTGCTCCCAGTGCTCCCAGTGCTCCCAGTGCTGCTGCCACCAGTGCTGGGACATTTCCCCCAGCACCCCTAAAACACCCCCCTACACCCCGACCCCGCACCCCAAATACCTCAAAGACACCCTCACAACACTCAGCGTCCCAGCCAAAATCCTAAAAAACCCTAAAACACCCCAAAACCCTAAAACACCCCAAAACCGCCCCGTCCCCAAGCTCCATGGCCCCATTCAGTGCCCTACACACGCCCTGCCCCAGCACCCCACAACACCCAGCCTACACCACAAAACCACCTCAAAACAACCCCAAACCACCCCAAAACTACCCCAAACCACCCCAAACCACCCCCTGCCCCAACACCCCACAACACCTAGCCTGCATCCCAAAACTACCCCTAAACCACCTCAAAACCACCCCAAAACTACCCCAAACCACCCCAAATCCACTCCAAACCACCCCAAACCACCCCTGCCCCAACACCCCCCAACACCCAGCCTACACCCCAAAACTACCCTTAAACCACCCAAAACTACCCCAAATCCATCCCAAACTCACCCCAAACTACACCAAACCCACCCCTAACTACCCCAAATCACCCCAAACCCACCCCCAGCCCCAAGACCCCTCCAACCCCCGCCCCTCCCGGACCCCTCGGCGCTCGGTACCGGCTCCGCTCCCCGCTCGGTGCCGAGCGGCTCCGCCCCGGAACGGGCCGGGACCGGGCACCGGCCGGAGCGGGGGCCGGTGTGGGGCGGGACCGGGGGACCCCCGTGGGGACCGCAGAGCCCCCGGGGCTGCCCCCGCCGCCGCCCTATAGATAGATAGGCGTTAATCCCCGTTAATGAGATGATCCTCATTAACTGCCGAGCCCGGGGGTGGGGGGTTGGGGGGGTTTTGCACGCGCGTGTGCGCGGCTGTGACACCCCCCCCTCCCCCCCCCCCCCCCCTCCGGTGCGCGCTCCCGCGTGTGTAACCGCCGGGCGCGCGCACGGTGCGGCGGCCACCGCGTGTGTGTCCCCTCTGTGTGTCCCCCTCTGTGTCACCTGCACCGTGTATGGCCACCGAGAGTTACTGGGAGTTACTGGGACGAACTGGGAGCACTGAGAAGCCCCTCTCCCTCGCGTCCCCGCTCAGGCTGCGCTGTCCCCGAGTGCCACCCCGTGGGGACATGGCAGGGGTGGGGGACGCTGGGGACACCCCTGAGAGTCGGGGGGTGCTGGGGGGGTCCCGAGGGGGCGGGCACGGGGTGACATCTGCTGGCATGGCCGGGGATGGCGCCGCTCGGGGACACGGGGGGGCGGTGTCCCCTCGGAGCGATGGTGGCAGCCCTGGGGACACGGCGGTGTCGCCGGAGTGTTGGTCGTGTCCCTGAGGGGTGGCAGGGGACAGTGTCGCCAGTGGGGGAATGCGGAGGACATGGACACACACAGGACACATGGGGGACACACATAGGGACACACAAGGGCGACACACGGCGGACACACATAGGACACACGGGGGAAACATGGGACACACACAGGACATAGGGGGGACACACACAGGACACGGGGAACACACACGGGACACACGGGGGACACATGGGACATACACAGGCCGCACGGGGACACACGAGGGACACAGACAGGACACGACGGACACCTACAGGACACATGGGGGACACAGACAGGACATGGGGGACACACACAGGACAAAGGGACACAGACAGGACAGAGAGACACCCACAGGACACACGGACACACAGCTGTCCCCAATCTCCGCTCCCCTCCCCGAGGGCGGCGCCATTCCCGGCGGTTCCTGCAGGGGGCGCAATCCCCGGCTCTGTTTCGGCCCCGCCCCCCCAAACGCGTCAAGCCCCGCCCACTCCCCAGGAGGCCCCGCCCCCCGTCATGGCGGGCGCGCGCGTGCTCGTGCACGTGCGGCGCGCGGGGGCGGGGGGGGCGGCGGCGTTCGGGCAGGTCCGGGGGGAACCGGGGGCAATGGGGGGGTCTGGGGGCAATGGGGGTAACGGGGGGACAGTGCAGGGCGGGGGGAGCGGGGACAGTGACAGTGACAGCGCGGGGACGGTGACAGCGCCAGCGCGGGGACAGTGACAGTGACCGCGGTGTCCCCGCAGAGTGTCACCGGCGTGTTCTGCCCCGCGCACACCGACGTGGCCCTGGTGAGCTGCGGGCTGGAGCGCGGCCGCTTCCTCATCTCCGATGTGCCCTTCCCCGGCTCCACCGTCACCGTCCTCAAGGTGCCACCAGCCCCGGTGTCCCCCTCCCGGTGTCGGAGCCATGGCACCCCTGACATGCCCTGTCCCCTCAGAGACCCCCGTTCTGCCCCGCCAAGCTGGGAGGGGACACGCCGGGTGACCGGGGGGGACACGCGGGGGTGACAGCAGCGGTGGCCGTGCTGCTGGAGGCCACCTGCGGCCACGTCCTGCTGACCCGCCGGGCCACCACCCTGCGACACTTCCCCAACGTTTGGGTGCCACCAGGTGAGCGCAAGGACGGGGACAGCAGCTCTGGAGGGGTCGCAGGTGTTTTGGGGTCCCCTGACCGCTGTCCCCCCACTCAGGTGGGCACTTGGAGCCAGGAGAAGAGGTGAGGTGACACCGCGGGGAGGGCAGGGGGTGCCCAGGTGAGTTGGGGACACCTGTGACACCCCGACCCCCCCAGCTAGTGGCCGCGGGGCTGCGGGAGCTGGCCGAGGAGACGGGGCTGCACCTGGAGCCCGGAACCTTCTCGTGGCACCTGCTCGGCCTCTGGGAGGTAACGACCCCTCCCCAAAGGGGGGCTGGGCGGGGGGTGACACCCCCGGGTGGCCGCTGTGTCCCACGGGTCACCCCTGCTCCCCTGCAGTCGCTGTTCCCCCCCTCGCTGAGCTGGGGGCCACCGCGGTGCCACCACATTGTCACCTACCTGGGGCTGCGCTCGGCCGAGCCCCGCCAGCGGCTGCAGGTGGGGGCAACTCGGGGGTGGGGGCACCACCGGGGTGGGGGCACCTCTGAGAGGGTCCCTTCATGGGTGGGGGGCACCTCCGGGGGTGGGGGCACCTCCATGGGGGTCCTCTGTGGGTGGGGGGCACCTCCGAGGGTAGGGTCCCTCCGTGGGTGGGGGGTCCCTCTTGGTCTTGCAGTCCCTCTCTGGGTGGGGGTCCCTCTGAGCATGAGGGTCTCTCTGAGGGTGGGGGTCCCTCCATGGGTGAGGTCCGTCCGTAGGTGGGGGCACCTCCAAGGGGGTCCCTCAATGGGCGGGGGGCACCTCCAAGGGGTCCCTCCATGGGTTGGGGGCACCTCTGAGAGGGTCCCTCAATGGGTGGGGGGTCCCTCTTGGTCTTTCAGTCCCTCTCTGGGTTGGGGTCCCTCTGAGGGTGGGGGTCCCTCATGGCCGGGCTATTCCTCCCCTGGAATCCCCTCCTGAGGCTGGGGTGCCTCTGAGGGTGGGGGTCCCTATGGAGGTTGGGGTCCCCCCCACCGTGGGGGTCTCTCCCTCCACGATGTCCCCATGCCCAGGCCCGGCTGTGCCCGAGCCCGGCTGAGGTCAGCGCCGTGGCCTGGCTGGAGCCTCCGGTCCTGGAGGCCATCGCTGCCACCGAGGATGGAGCCGAGGGACCGGGACCAGGACCGGGATTGGGATCAGGACCGGGATTGGGATCAGGACCGGGACCGGGATCACTCTCCAGCGAGCTGCCGGCCACCATAGGGTGAGACCCCCGCTGCCACCCTGGGGACAGCGACACGAGGCTGCAGAGCCCCTGGGGCTGCCCAGCCCCGTTCCTGACCCCGTTCCCGACCCCGTTCCCCGGTGCAGGATCACGGAGCTGAGCCCCGACGGCCTCCGCTGCTCCCGGATCCCCACCGGGACCCTCCTGCGCCGGGCCCCGGAGCGCGGCCCCGACCTGGAGCGCGTCAGCACCGGCACCAAATTCGCCCTGGGCCGGTGGCGGGCAGGGCCCGGCCGGGGGCAGGAGCGCGAATAAAATCCCGGCGGGATCCGAACCCCTCCTGGAGTGGGGTGTGCGTGGGGTCGGGGGTTCCAGGGCAATGGAGAGGGTGCACCCCGTTCCCTGGGGTGTGGGGATGGGGACACGGGATGGGACACAGGGTGGGAACACAGGATGAGACATGGGATGGGGACATGGGACACAGGACATGGGATGGGACACGGGATGGGGACATGGGACGGGACACGGGATGGGGACATGGGACACAGGATGGGACACGGGACATGGGATGGGACACGGGATGGGGACATAGGACACAAAATGGGACCCAGAATGGGACATGGGATAGGACACAGGACACAGAATGGGACAAGGGATGGGACATGGGACACAAAATGGGACCCAGAATGGGACATGGAATGGGACACAGGACATAGAATGGCACATGGGATGGGACATGGAATGGGACATGGAATCGGGACATGGGACACAGAATGGGACCCAAAATGGGGCATGAGATGGGACACAGGACACAGAATGGGACACGGGATGGGTACATGGGACACAGAATGGCACATGGGATGGGACACGGGATGGGAGCATGGGGCACAAAATAGGACCCAGAATGGGACATGGAAAGGGACACAGGACATAGAATGGGACATGGGATGGGACACAGAAAGGGACACAGAATGGGACACGGGATGGGACACGGGATGGGACACGGGACACAAAATGGGACCCAAAATGGGACATGGGATAGGACACAGGATGCAGAATGGGACATGGGATGGGTACACAGGTTTGGACACAGAATGGGGACACAGGACACAGAATGGGACACGGAAAGGGACTCATGATGGGGACATGGGACACGGAAAGGGACAGGGGATGGGGACATGGAAAGGGACACAGGATGGGCACAGGGGATGGGATACAGAATGGGACACGGGATGGGACATGGAAAGGGACACAGAATGGGACACAGGACACAGAAAGGGACACAGAAAGTGACACGGCCACGTGTGTGTCACAATTTCCCGGTTTAATGCCACAGCCCCGCTCCCGCCTCGGCCCGCAGGATCCGCAGCAGCGCGGCGTGCACGCCCTCGTCCATGAATCCCTGTGGAGGAACGAGTGTGGATTTTACCAGAATCCCACCCAAAACTGTGTCCCCACCCCCCAGAGACCCCGGGCAGGGCCGGGGGGTCCCACCTGGGCAGCCTGGAGGAGGTGGCTCCGGTACACGGCCACGGTGTCCCGGTGCTGCTTCTGCTGCACCTGGCGGGCACAGGGTGGCACTGGATGACTCAGGGTGACAGGAGGTGACAAAGGGTGACACGGGTGTGACACCGGGCGCTGTCCTCACCTCCAGCTGCAGCTGGAGCCGGGCGCTCCTGCCCCGCAGCCCCAGCACCTCGGCTGAGAGTTTCTCCGTCTCCACCAGCAGCTGCTTCAGCTGGGGGGGCAAAGTTGGGGCAGAATTGGGGGGCTGGGGGGGGGTTGGTTGCTCTCAGCACCCCCCAGAGCCCCCTTGGTTCCTGTCAGCCCCCAAAGTCCTGCTCAGCTCCCCCCGAAGTCCCCCCAAATGGGGCTGGGAGGGAGAAAAGGATGGGATGGGATCAATGGGAACAATGGGATCAATAGGATAGGATCTATGGGGTGGCATGGGATCAATGGGAACAATGGGAACAATGGGATCAATGGGATCAATGGGATGGGATTAATGGGATCAATGGGATGGGATGGGATCAATGGGAACAATGGGAACAATGGGATCAATGGGATAGGATCAATGGGATGGGATGGGATCAATGGGAACAATGGGATCGATGGGAACAATGGGAACAATGGGATGGGATCAATGGGATCGATGGGATCGATGGGATGGGATTAATGGGATCAATGGAATGGGATGGGATGGGATGGGATCAGTGGGAACAATGGGATCGATGGGAACAATGGGAACAATGGGATGGGATGGGATGGGGTCAATGGGAAGGGGACAGGGATGAAAATGTTGATGGGAACAACAGTGAGAAAGGGATGATGATGATGATGATGATGATGATGATGATGATGATGATGATGGAAAGAGGACTGGGAAGGGGATGGGGATGGGAGGGACATGGGGATGGATATGGGAGGAAGAAGAAGATGGGAAGGGGTCAGCGATGGTGACAAGGATGGCAGGAGGATGATGATGGGAATGGGAATGGAACTGGTGCTGGGAAGGTCCCGTCCCCGTCCCCAGCCCGTCGCTCACCTTCCCGTCCTTGTCGCGGCAGGCGCGCTCCAGCCGCCCCGCGCGCTCCCGCAGCGCCGCCACGCTGCGCTCCAGCCCCTCGGCCGTGTCCCGCAGCTCCCGCAGCTCCCGTTCCCGCCCGGCCGCCCTCTCCTCGGCCGCCGCCGCCGCCTCCCGCCACCGCTGCGCCTCCGAGCCCGGCGGGACCCCGGCGGTGCCGCGCTCCGTGCCCTGCCCTTCTCCCGCTTCTCCCGGTGTCCCGCCCTCCCCGTCATTCCCGGGGGTCTCTCCGGCCTCTCCCTCCTCCATCTCCGTGATGAGCTGCAGGGCCTCGTGCTGGGAGCGCACCAGCGCGTCCAGCCGCCGGTGCAGGTCCCGGAGGATTCCGGCGCCGCTGTCGCCGCCCGCCTCCCGCACCCGCGCCCCGAGCCCGTCCCGCAGCGCCCGCAGCTCCCGGCGGAGCCGCCACGCCTCGTCCCGCTTACCGGGATCCTCCCGCAGCTCCCGCAGCTCCCGCTGCAGCCGCTCCCGCTCCCGGCCCAGCCGCGCCAGCTCCACCAGGAGCTTCCCGTTCCCCTCCCGCAGCTCCAGCAGCTCCTTCTCCATCCTCCCGCCCTCCCTCGGCGTCTCCTCCCGGTGCTTCCCGCCCGGAGCCGGCTCTGTGCCGTTCACCGAGCACCGGCGGAGCTTTTCCAGGAGGGTTCGGGATCCCTGGAGCATCCTGGCGTGGATCTGGTCCTGCTGCTCCAGCGCCTGCTCCAGCCCCGCCGCCAGCTGCTCCCAGGCCCGGAGGGAGCGCTCGGATTCCCGGCGCAGCTCCCGGCTCCGGGAGAAGGCTCCGGCCTTCGCTTCCCGCATTTTGGAGCACTCCTCCCCCAGCCAGGCCAGGAACGGGATCAGCGCCGGAGCCTCGGAGCTGCCGTGTCCTCCTCCTCCTTCCCACTCTTCATCCCTCGTCCTCTTCCTCAGCTCCGCCACGCGCCGGGCCAGGAGCTCCAGGCAGGCGCCGTCATCGTCCTCATCCTCATCATCCTCATCCTCATCTTCCTCCCGTCCCGGCAGAAGCCGCACGAGCTCCCGCAGCCGCCGCCGGACGCCCTCGGCAGCTTCCTCCATCCTCCGGCATTCCAGAGTCTTCCTCGCCAGCTCCTCCCGCAGCCCCCGGGCAGCGCGTCCGTCCCGCTGCTCCTCTCCCTCCTCCTCTCCCTCCTCCTCCTCCTCGCCCTGGATTCCCACCTGTCCAGCGCCGTTCTCTGCAGGAGGGAACAGCGCAATCCCGTTTTCCCGATTCTTCTCCATTTTTTCCCATTTCCCCCCAATTTTTTCCTTTTTTTTGGGGGAGGGAGATCCAGGAGGTCTCACCTCTCCTTGGGACCTTCCGGAGAGCCCAGCTCGGGGTCTCCCCGGTGACATTCCCGGTGACATTCCCGGTGACGTTCCCGGTGTCCTTGTCCCCCTTGTGGCCCTGCAGCAGCTCGGCCACTTCCAGGCTGCCGTGAGCCAGGGCCAGCTCCAGTGCTGTCCTGAGCCGGGGATGTGACACGGAGGGACAGGGGAATGTGACACTGAGGGACAGGGGATGTGACACCGAGGGACACAGGGATGTGACACTGAGGGACAGGGGATGTGACACTGAGGGACACAGGGATGTGACATGGAGGGACAGGGAATGTGACACTGAGGGACACAGGGATGTAGCACCAAGGGACACGGGGATGTGACAAGGAGGGACAGGGGATGTGGCACCGAGGGACAGGGGGATGTGACACAGAGGGACAGGGGATGTGACACCAAGGGACACGGGGATATAACACCGAGGGACACGGGGACAGTGAGCGATGGCAGGGGGTGGCACAGGGGCACGGTGACAAGATGGCACCGTGACACAGTGGCACAGGTGACTCCCATCCCTTCCCCGCATTGGTGACACCACAAACCGATGTCCCCAGTGTCCCCAGTGTCCCCAGTGTCCCCTGTCACCCACCTGCCATCCCTGTCGGCCAGCCCAGGCTCGGCCCCACGCCGCAGGAGCTGGGCACACACAGCCGCGTGGTTCCCCTGTGCTGCCAGCATCAGGGGGGTCTGCCCGTGCTGGGGGGACACGTGGGGTGACCACCAGCCCTCGCTGTCCCCTGCCACCCCCTGCTGTCCCCCTGTCCCCACTCACGGCGTCGGGCACATCCAGCGGGGCCTCGTGGTCGCAGAGCAGGAGGACGCTGGAGGCGCAGCCCGAGGAGGCTGCGGGGGGACGGGGTCACTGCAGGGACTCTGGGGGACCCCCCTGGTGTCCCCCAAATCCCGGGGTGTCCCCGTGTCCCCCCCCTCACCGGCCCAGTGCAGCGGAGTCCGGTTCTGCCCGTCCACGTGGCGCTCGTTGGCTCCGTGCTGGGGGGACAGCGGGAAGGGGATGGGAATGGGAATGGGATTGGAAATGGGAATGGGAAATGGAGATGGGGATGGGGATGGGAATTGGGAATGGGAATGGGAATGGGATTGGGAATGGGATTGGGATGGGAATGGGAATGGGATTGGGAATGGGAGTGGGAGTGGGAGTGGGAATGGGATTGGGATTGGGAATGGGATTGGGATGGGAATTGGGAATGGGATTGGGAATGGGAGTGGGAATGGGAATGGGAATGGGATTGGGATTGGGAATGGGATGGGAATGGGATTGGGAATGGGATGGGAATGGGATGGGAATGGGATGGGAATGGGAATGGAAATGGGAATGGGAATGAAATGGGAATGGGAATGGGAATGGGATTGAGAATGGGAATGGAAGTTGGATTTGGAATGGAAATGGGATTGGGATT